AACTTCTTCATATAGATGTCTTTACTGGAGAAATTGAGTTGCTTGAATTTGTGTGTGTGTGTTTTACAAAAGGTTAGGTGATTTTTTTTTGTAGAAATCGTCAAAAAAGATCAAAGAGTAATAGTAGTGATATTTAATATTTTCTGACTAAATAATAAGATGGCGCTGGTATAATGTTACCTTGAAAAATACTATTAAACTAGCAGAGACCAGCTAAACATTTGGGGTTAAATTAGTATCTTTACTGCAGCAGTGCTTCTTTAAATACAGGATTTCTAGAATAATACACCAAAATCTATAAGTCTACTTATCTTAGGCCTTTATTAAGTACGGCCTATATTCGATAACGCGATTAACACTAATTTGTGTACGTTTTTTACTTTAGTTTAGTTAGGGCAAACTCTATCGTATTTAATACTATCAATAAATACACTGATAATGTTATTCTACGAACTAAAGTTAGATCTTTTGAAAACATTGATGAGTTTTAATATGTTGTACAAAATGTCTACAAAAGTATATTTATATCTGCCTTTTGTTTACACCCACTGAAATGCACATACGCATTTAGATAGTAAGATGCGTGCGCATTTTCAGAACAGACAAAAACTGAGCATTATTATAACACATATTTTATAGAAAGGCCTGTTTTTTGTAATAGTAATTGCTGTATTTTACCTTCTTAATAAGTAGATTGTGTTTTATTTTATCGTTAAACAATATCGTAATTTTGAAATTTATGCTAAAGTTAGAGAACGAGACCTTTTTAATTTGTCATAAAAGTGTCATTTGGTGTAGCTATAATTATTACACATTTTCAACGGGTTAATTTATTTAGATAGTATTTCTATATTACATCATATTAAAAGTCAGCGGACGATTTTTGCAGAATTAATTTTATATTGAATACAATAAGTTTGATAAAAAGATCTGTTTTGCTTTTAGACGTAGAATTTAGACACTGGCGTATGGAGCGGGTTGGGAGGGGCACTTTTTAAACTGTCCCAGTAAAAATGCACTAAAGTTAGGAAAATTACTGTCAGGAAAAGCAGGAGAATGTATAAAATTTAATCAAAAACCCAAGAGCTTCCAGGGCCCTAAGGCAAGCCCTGGACCTCGGCCTATGGCACAAATTCCCTCGCTTCGCTTGGTAAAATTAACCTTGCCCCCCACCACTTTTTATTTGCCTCCTACACCTCTGTTAGACGAGCATTTTCACATGATTATATACAAGATGTTCATATACTAACAAGCAGTTATTAAAACTCCAATGAAAAATATTATTTCATGGAGATATAATAGCTTAAGGCCCCATGAGCCTCATCAACCTGGGCCCCATTTCTTACTGCCATACCAATTAATCCAAAATAATATAAATTTGTAAGTTTGAGTTATCTATGCTTATTAGTAAATGTTATTCGTATTGTTTTATTCAATTTCGTATACCTTTGCAGGTTTTGAGATTTCAGATTCTGAATAAATTCATCGTAAAATAAATTAACTAATTTTGATATAGGAAATAATCTACTAAAATGTAATGGCTGGAGACGGCTTAAATGGGTAATGA